CAATTCATGACGTCGCCTTTGACTCCTGTGAATTGGATTTTACTGCTTTTTTGTTGCAAATACTAATCACTTCATTTCTTTAAAATATCAATATACACAAATAAATAAAGATTAGAAGTGGGTCAATGTTTAATAATTACACTTTTTTTTGGTCTATTGAGAAACCGACATTGAGAAGGATTTACTTTGCCTTTTTTTTTTGACATGGATGTTTGGGAATCAAATATGGAGATCTGATAACTTTACAACTATTTGTTTCTGAATTGTAAATAGCTAGTACCTTGAATGTACATTTATTATAGTTTTTGTAAAATAAAATAAGGTTCCGTACTTTGTCAAAACAAAGCCACCTAGTAAATCAACCTGATCTTTAGAGAAAAAAACTGATGCCATACCTTGGTATATAGCTTTGATTCCTTTACTCTATTAACTCGAGCACAATGAAACATAGGATATTTTTGTGAGCATGCTTTATTTAAAAATAGTTGCCCGATATTTAAGTTTTTTAATATGTATACACGTATATCAATATACACTCCAACACAAGCAAGTACTTTTTTCTTCCTAAATCAAAGTCTACATTTTGCTATTCAAAAAACAATATTTTGCTTCTACTACTGATTAACCATCATTTAAATTTTAAAAAAACCTATATCTTTGTACACTATCGCTTTTTTAGATAACTCGTTGTTTCAAAAATCGACTCTGTTTTGTTATGATAATATGACAGAAACATCTACTTTTATACTCTCAAGTTGTGAATAAAACAAAATGATTTGCTCATTTTTGGATACAATGTCTAAACTTGGTTTTAATTCCATTCTCTGTAAAAGCTAATTTTTCCTATTATCATATGAATAGATGAAAAAGACATTACAGCCAAGACCTTGTGGCCTTGTATGAGTGGTTTGAAAATAGTGATTTGATTTGATTCATGATTTATTGGTATCTATGTAAAAACGTCTTCCCTGAAGTTTAATTCCATAGTCTTTATTTGTCTTTATTAGATCCCTTTTTCTAATCTATATTACGTATACTATTTGTTTGCTTCATATTCATGAAATTAAACCATCTTGTTCCTAGTATTTAAGACACATAATATCATATTGCCTTTATTTTTTCTGAATCACGTCATCACATCCCTTGAATTATTGATCTCCCTTCCTAAAAATAAAAATTACACGGATTTGGTTCCTAGATATCCTGTGTACAAACGTGCGTTCCAAATATTTCTCTTTAATATCATTAAAAGGCTCTTTAAGATAAACCGATGCTTTTTTTAAAGAGTTCTTTTTCTCAGCTAACACATCCTTATATATCTATAATTTTCTTTTTTTAAATTGCTTTTTTGTTTGGTTGACTTTTTTTCTATAAAGGTAAAGTTCTTAAATTCGCCGATATATTAGGATAAAAATTAAACTGCTTGTTGTATAAATTATTTCTGGCAATGCTGTTCCTTAAATTCTATTTTTATTCCCTTGCCGATTGATCAATTTTATATCTTGTCTTTTACCAACTACTTTGCACCTTGAACCAATTTTTTGTGTTAGTTGTATCTAATGAATACTAATACAACTTATCCTTGTTAAGTTGCTTTACTGCTTTCAATAACAATAGTTTTCATACTTTATCTATTTGTTTTGAGGAATATCTACACTATTTTAAAAATAGTCCATTGGTATTTTACGATAATTTATAAGAAAAAAATAAAAACAACACACGTACTTTTTCTAGCTCAAAGTAAAGGAAACAGTCTTTGCCTAACCTAAAGCATCAATCTTTTTACAATTTAGCCTTACCTTAGATTCAAGTAATTTTCTGGCGCAACAGGAAATAAAAACAAACCTAAAAACAAATTCCAAGACAAGAATTAATTTATTCAAAGTCAAAACCCATCAAATCCGACAATATAATATACACTATTTAAATAATTTCAGGGGAAAATAGCTACGTTTTCTTCTTAGAATAAAAGCTACTTTTTTGAAATCTTTTTTTTTTTAAAAAAAATTCATATGTCTGTTTTGTTAAAGTACATCTAGTTGTTCCTTATGCCTGAGTTTATTAAAAAGGAAAAATCCGATTTCAAAAAAAAATTAAGCTCCAAAAGCTATATATTTACTAAAGAATATAATAAAAGAATTAGATATGATATATTCTGGTAATTATGTTCCTTTAAAAAGCGAGATATCCGGATGGTACTAAAACAGCACATCCTAGGTATGTCTGGTGTCACTTCCTCAAAATTTATATTTTAATTCAATGAATCAGCCATTTTCTAAACGCATTATTTGTAGCTATTTGATGAGTGTTGATTTTTTCTAGTATAGAAATTGCATAAAAGCCTGATAGTAAACTGATAGTTTTCTGGAAAAAATGTTTTTTATTTTGATTCTGAAAACTCTAAATCGCAATCTAGGTATTTCTGTTTGAAAAGGTGGGTTTTATAAAAGCGCTCTGAAAAAGATAATATATCAATAAAACAATCAAAAAGGTGGCCAATCATTCTATACTACTCTTTAGAACTGGCAAATGGGTAAGTACAAAACTGCCAAATCTTCAAACTATAATATGTTCAATACAATTACGCTAAAAATACAGCACTTCGAGAGAAATACCATTTTTGGGCTATTCTCATAAAAAGGGATTCGGCCAACCAAATTTTAAAGAATAAGCCTTAGATATAATTAGGGTTATTAATAACACTATTCATTATTCTTGACTATGCGCTATTTCTAGCGCATAAGCAAATTTAAGTTTGCCCTATTATTTGGACAAACACAAATATAGCACCTATAAGTTCCAAAGTATTATATTTTATTAATTACTTTTATACTTAAAATTTGTGTATAAAAGAGCTAACGTTTCATACATAGGAAGCATTAGATCTTTTAATCTTTATACTTTTTTCTGTTTAGTTTTATTTGTTTAGAATCTGTCTTTTTTCAATAAATCAACTATACCTATAGTTAATTCTAACAATATGGCGATAATATAATGATAAGAAAATAAAAACTTAGCCGTTAAAATTATATTGAAGATAGACAGCTAAACAAATCCATAAAAAAGGAAAAAACCTTCAAAAAAAAAGTGTATATTACAACTAATTTCTGAAACTTTGTGACAATTAATTTTAAGTCTGATTTTTAAATATATAACACCTATTTTACCGGATCTTACTTTTTATTATTAATCAGTCGGTTAATTTTCTGATCTACATGTATTAGTTTTTATTTTTATCTAACTATTTACGTAACCAGATGCGTAGTTTTTTAAAGTTGCAACTACTGGTTGCAAGCTTTTTCTATAGCCAAAATATTTTTATATTTTATATTAAAACATTAAGTATTTCAGAAACCCCAAACAAAGGAGGATGTATTTATTGCAAAAGTTCGTCCAATAGATTACCATTTCTTAGATTATTTTTAAACTATTGTTTCTTTTGCTATTAGACTCAAGCGTAAGCTTATTAATGGGTTATATAATTAATTATAGAAAATGCAAAAAATTCGTCTATTTTTTTTCTTCCAAAATTCACCCTTTGTCTGAGATTATCCGTTTTGAAAAACACCTCTTCTTCT